GGATTAAGCATGAAGGTCGGTAAAAACTATGTTGAGGAAGATAGTGAGTGTTCCGTGGGGAATAGTGAGTGTTCCGTGGGGAATAGTGAGTCATGTAGTTTTAAGTGAGAGCATTATCTGGTGGATAGTGAGGGAATTCTCTCGATTTGCGAGGGAATCCCTTGGGGGATTTCGATGGAATTTTCCTGTGGGTAGTGAGAGTTTTTGTCCAGATTTAAAGGTTTATCTATTATTACGAGGGCCACTTGAAGGTTTAATCACAACTGACAGGAAGACCATTTAATTTTCGTTTATAGAGTCCGCCATGGCTGTTAATGATCCTCGGTGTTACTTTAAGAAATTTTGCTGACGTTCCGGTACATCCTGGAGTATACCTGGGTATCTTTCTTTAATTATTATTATTTTCAGGTCGTCCTGTGTCGTATTATTGATGTTCTTGTGCGCCCTAAGTAATTTTGTGATGGTCTTTTGTGCAATGTCCCGTTGTTCTGGTGCTTCCTTATCGTCTTGTTGATGTCCTGGGGTTTTGTATTGTATTGATCTGGTGGGACCTGTCTCGAATCGTTGATGTTCTGGCTGGTCCTGTGTCATGTTATTATAATGTCATGTACCTGTTGAGGTTCTGGTGTGTCGTGTTCTAGCGTGTCCTGTGTAGCTTAGACATTAAAGTGGATGTGTACTTACATATTTGTGGTTGCAGGGGTCGATTCACAGCTCCTGGCCCCGCCTCTTCGCTAGTCGCTACTAGGTTCACTCCCTGCTCTAAGACTTATCGTACCTTAAGTGAGTCCTGGCTATCTATCTCCCTGGGGGCTGGTCTCGCTACACCCCCACACACACACGCACTGATTTATTTAGACATTTTCTCGACCTTTGTATGAAGGAAAAAAGTAGGCTGGGCATGCGCCGTTTATTTGGCCATATTGTTAGTGTGGTTCCAAGGGCCACTTAGCCAAAAAGTCACAGCGGTGGGGCCGGTAGCCTCGTTCCGCGCGTCTCCCAGCGGGGTCGCTCCTACACCTTTATATGGCACTAAATAATTTACTCTACTTGCTAATGGTGTGGTTAATGGTGCATATAAATGTTTAGTGTACTGTTAGAGGAGGTGCGCTGGCCTGACTGGCCTAGAATAATAGCAGGATCAGGTACTGCATAATCAGCCAGTGTGTCCGCCCATTCTGGGATGTGAATTGTGCGTGGCCTTTATGTGTGGCTGCGAGGCTTGGGGTCCTCATTGTAACGAGCCCTCACTTGTGGCGTAATCCCAGGGCCCTCAGCCTGCCCTGGGCATTGTTGCTATCCCCAGGGGGCCCCTTCCATTTCTCCCCCCTCTTAAAATCCCCAACTCTCACTACCACCTCCCCATCCAAAGCTACCATGTATCAACTCCAGGGTACTGCATAGCTCACTACTATCGCAAGGTTCAAGGTTTGATTTCCTGCAGTGGAGAAATTCGTGGCACCGAGAAACATTTGTACAGGTTTCCTTAACCCCATCCCCTGCCCACTTAACAGTTACAGTAGGTACCTGTGTAATAAATAGCTGACTGTTGTGGGTTGCTTCCAGGGGGGGAAATGTGTTAGAAAACTTGAATGCTACTGGAATGTCTTATCTTGTGTAAGAAACCAACTCTCCGGTCCTGTCTAAGAATCTTCACTGTTCTACCTGCTGTTAGAATTTGTGTTGGGTAAAAGGTATCCGTGTACCTAATGATGTTAATTACGAGAATTAACCCTTAACTATATCCCACGAACTGTTCACCTGCCTTTCTATATTTTTTCACATTACTGTTCGTTCTCACCATCCAGTGTCCGATCTGCCTCGGGTTTACTCGAATATTTACTCGAAATAATGCCAGGCCCAGTTAGGTAGCTATAGACCATCTAGCATTGCATTAAATAACGAAGCGTTTTGGTTAAGTTTCGCTATTCTGAGCTTAGGAAGATTTAATTATGCTAGCCTTTGTTACTTTACATTATATTAAGCTAGCCTTCTTTAATAGGTTTAAGCTAGCCTGTTTAGTTTCAGTTTTAGGCTAAGTTCTGTTGTTACCTACTCTAATGAGGGATGTCAATCTAATATATAAGTATGTTTAGAGTATCACGTAGCCATTATGTGGCACTTAAGCTGTGGACAGATGCCAGTAAAGGTTCGCCTTACGTTTAGTGCCTTGTATATCTTGTAGACAGTTTGCATATCATTGGCATTCCTAATGCGACTGGCTCAGTCTTTGCAAGCTAGGTGATCCCTAAATCCCTAGTCAGGTTACTCAGGTCATCACATAGCATATTTCAAGGTATAAATGGTAGGGATATTTCCCCTTTCGCCTAAATTTGCTGACATGGCCAATAACATGGAATGCATTAAGGATATGGTTATCAGAATGATTATCTTCCAAGAGTGAATTGGTCACGACAGTAGCATGTTGATAATGATAATGTAAATTTGATAATGATAAACACTGAGTATGTTTAAAGCGCTGAATAACCATTTCTAGAGCTTTGCAAATAAAATAAATTCTCCCTCTCTCATTTTCATTCCCTCTCCTTTCCTTCCACTTTCTTCCCCTTTCTTCCCCTCCACTCCATCTCCCTCCACTCGATCCCCTCCTCTCCCTCACTCAACCTCCACAGTAGATAGCCACTTACAGGTCTTCTTTCAACATTTAACGGTATGCATATTTGTGTTTGTATGTGAGTGACCCACAAGATGGTCACTCAGTGTTGGGGTGAGGGTAGAGGTATGGTCAGTCCTCCAGGCTGAAGAGAAAGGTATTTTTCAGGCTTTTTAAATGTCTAGTAAAGTGTTTAATCGTGAAGTTAAAGATAGTGAGTGGGGGTCAGTTTTTCAAGTGAGGAAAGAGAGAGAGGTGGAGGGATAGATTCTTTCCCCCTTCTCCCTTCCATTCCTATCCACTTGTTCGCCTTTCAATCCTTTCCCATGGAAACGCCTCAAAGCACTTGGAATGTATTCTAAGGAACAGAAAGGAGAAAGATACGTGATAATATATGCATGGAAAATACTCGAGAGCCCGGTGCTCAACATACTGCCATTACTTACCAGAGTGAGAAATAAGAGCTAAAAATTACATTTGAAGCATCTGTGGCCCAGATGCTTTAAATTTTGCCATAGGAAATGTGCAAGTTTTCAGTACGAAACTTTAAAGAATAAAGATAAGCCAGACTCATCAGACACTCCTTTCACCTCTCCATTCATTATCTTTCCTTTCATTACTTTTCTTCTCATTATCTTTCATCTTTTCTCTCATTACCTTTTCTCATTTATAATTATTTTTCCTCGCCTCATTATCTTTTCATTCATTATCTTTCCTCTTATCCTGTTTTTCATTTCCTTTCCAAGCCTCTCGTTACCTTACCCCCCTCAATTCCATCCCCATCCCCCCTCCCGTTTCTGTTCTCATCCTTTCTGCAGTGACCATCACCGTGGTGCTACCTACCTGCACATTCCCAGCACTTGCATTCTATTAGTGTGGTCGCGAATGTACATCCTTATGGACTTGCATGACCAGTTTGATCCTCTGAAGACCTGTCACTAGGCAGGGAGAGACGGCTGCTTCACTATTCGCTCAATCGAGCTGGTGATGCTCAACTCGGTTGTTCATGAATTATCAAGGCTGATGGAGCTGACCACCTCAAATTAACTCTTCACATCTTCCAACGTTATTCTTAATATTAGATTGATAGTCACTAGGTGGCGATACGTCTTCACATGGCCCGCGTGCAGTCGATAGGTTTCAAGCATAACAGACTAACATTAAAATGGTATAAAATACCGACAGGTTGTTAGGTAAGACACATATGCAACAGTTAGGTATCTTTATTATGAAACGTTTCGCCTACACAGTAGGCTTCTTCAGTCAAGTACAGAAAAGTTGATAGAAGCAGAAGATACGTGAAGACGATGTAATCAGTCCATCACCCTTAAAGTTTTGAGGTGGTCAGTCCCTCAGTCTGGAGAAGAGCATTGTTCCATAGTATGAAACAATATTGTTTCATACTATGGAACAATGCTCTTCTCCAGACTGAGGGACTGACCACCTCAAAACTTTAAGGGTGATGGACTGATTACATCGTCTTCACGTATCTTCTGCTTCTATCAACTTTTCTGTACTTGACTGAAGAAGCCTACTGTGTAGGCGAAACGTTTCATAATAAAGATACCTAACTGTTGCATATGTGTCTTACCTAACAACATAACAGACTAACTTACGCTTGGTTTAAATGACAAACTTCTGGGACCTAGACTAGGGTCCCATGACCGAAACGTTTCCTTATAAATGTGTTTGCTCATGTACCTATAACCACTGGTAACTGTTTATTACCAAGGGTTACATCGTAACTTAGGCTTCTGGAAGTGAAAGACTATCATATAAGGGTCCAGGAGGAATAAAACTGAAAATAAATATTACATTTTCTTAAGCCGGGACCACCGGTGAGATGGGGTCGTGTTATAAATCACACCAACCTCACAGAGATTACAAGACTAGTGTCGGCAGCTCCAGGGTGTGGAGATTATCCAAGCCAGAGTTTGTAGGAAGGAAGACTAAGGGATTCCAGTCCCGCGGGATGGGATTTAAGGGTAGGGAATAACAGATTTACCTACAAGGCTGTCCTAGTCTTCGACTGCTGGACTTCTGCTGAAGGGAAGCCAAAGCTTCAAGTGCTTAGTATATAGTTATAAATTCCACTTAATAAGAAATCGGGATTTTTAATATATCGTGTTCGTTATTTGTTCACACATTTTATTAAGTAATTATGAAACTTAAAATGAAAATAAAAACTGGAGACATGGTAACGGTTAAGACATCGAAATATCGTTTAGGTTCCTCTTCCAGTTTGTTTTAATAGGTAGTAGGCTTATAGACAGCAACCACCCAGGGACGGATTACCCTTCTGTCATTTAATTGTGAAACGGAAGTCTGTTAAATGTGTGTGTGTGTGTGTGTGTGTTCATTTGTACTCACCTGTTTGTGGTTGCAGGGGTCGATTCACAACTACTGGCCCCCGCCTCTTCGCTGGTTGCTACTAGGTCTATTCTCCCTGCTCCAAGAGGTGAGTATCTGTGTTTCTGTTTGTACTTCTCCCCCCTCTTTGTGTGTATGTACGTATGTATGTATGTATGTGTGTGTGTATGTATCTGTGTGTGTATGTATATATATATATACATACATATACATATATATATGTGTGTGTACCGAAAAGGTAAAACTGGTCAGTTAGCAAGAACTCATTTAAAATTAAGTCCTTTCTAAAAATTTCTCTTATACGTTTAAAGATATATTTTTTAATTTATGTTAATATAAAAATTGATAATTTTGCACCACAAGACCCTTAGAAAACTTACCTAACCTTATTATAACAAGCGCAGTTTAATTTAGTCTTATCCAACTAAATATATTTTAGATAAGTTTACAATAATTGAATAATAAACACACTGAAATTATTTTTTTCGGTAGGTTCAGAATGATTTTTGCGAAATTATTGCGTACACAAATTTTCGCTTGCCTTATTCGACAAGAAGAGCGTTGCTATTTAAGCCAAAATATCAAGCTTTACCTATTCGGCACGATATGTATATATAATTTAATCCATCCTGTATACACAGTTAATACACCGTTCTGTAAATATCTTCAGAATGATAATTTTCATTAAAAATATTTTTCATCATGCCATAATACTTAATAAACTTATTAGTTTATATTAAAATGCTGTAAATTATGTAGACACATTCTACTGTGCCTGAGTTAAGATTGTCTTCCATCGTGAGGCCTGTCACAAATGGTTTAGCCTAATTCCAATCTATCTCTATCTCTCTCTCTCTCTCTCTCTCTCTCTCTCTCTCTCTCTCTCTCTCTCTCTCTCTCTCTCTCTCTCTCTCTCTCTCTCTTCTCTTCTCTTCTCTTCTCTCTCTCCTTCTCTCCTCTCCTCTCCTCTCTCCTCTCTCTCTCCTCTCCTTCTCCTCTCTCCTTCTCCTCTCTCCTTCTCCTCTCTCCTTCTCCTCTCTCCTCCTCTCCTCTCCTCTTCCTCCCTCTCCTCCCTCCCTCCCTCCTCCCTCCCTCCCTCCCTCCCTCCCTCCCTCCCCATCCGGAACCATTATGCATGTTATGGTCGTGTTGTGTTCAGGGAAACGGTAAGCAGATAACTTTCATTCACTTCACAGCTTCATCAGTATAAACCTTTTTTTTTTTTTTTAATCAGAATATTTTGCTATAATTTAGTTTACGCAGCATCCAAGATTAAAACGCTGTCTTAATTCCAGGGCAGAAATTTATGATTCTTGTCATCGTGGGGGGGGGGGGGGGAGAGTGCTTTTCATATAGCCTCATCGACACGCTTCATAAATTTCATCTTGAGCTGGTCGGTAACCTGTTTGGCGTGTCCTTTACTTCTCCTTAGGCAGAGTAGGAACTGGAAGGACCCGGACCTGCCTTTTCTGGTGGACATATCTGTGACCTGCTTCCAGAGTGTTTCCATTCATGCGCGTTGGACTTCCTTAACCTGCAGGAACTTCGGAGTTTTCTAGTATAGACTTCAGTATTTTGTACCGACACCCAGTGATGCTAGGCATCCACAGTGATGCTAGACACCCACAGTGATGCTAGAAACCCACAGTGATGCTAGATACCCACAGTGATGCTAGATACCCACAGTGATGCTAGATACCCACAGTGATGCTAGATACCCACAGTGATGCTAGATACCCACAGTGATGCTAGATACCCACAGTGACGCTAGAAACCCACAGTGATGCTAGATACCCACAGTGATGCTAGAAACCCAATGATGCTAGGCACCCACAGTGATGCTAGGCACCCACAGTGATGCTAGGCACCCACAGTGATGCTAGGCACCCACAGTGATGCTAGGCACCCACAGTGATGCCAGGCACCCACATTGATGCTAGGCACTCACAGTGATGCTAGAAACCCACAGTGATGCTAGAAACCCACAGTGATGCTAGAAACCCACAGTGATGCTAGATACCCACAGTGATGCTAGATACCCACAGTGATGCTAGAAACCCACAGTGATGCTAGAAACCCACAGTGATGCTAGAAACCCACAGTGATGCTAGATACCCACAGTGATGCTAGATACCCACAGTGATGCTAGAAACCCACTGATGCTAGATACCCACAGTGATGCTAGAAACCCACAATGCTAGGCACCCACAGTGATGCTAGACACCCACAGTGATGCTAAAAACCCACAGTGAAGCTAGATACCCACAGTGATGCTAGAAACCCACAGTGATGCTAGATACCCACAGTGATGCTAGATACCCACAGTGATGCTAGATACCCACAGTGATGCTAGACACCCACAGTGATGCTAGACACCCACAGTGATGCTAGACACCCACAGTGATGCTAGAAACCCACAGTGATGCTAGAAACCCACAATGCTAGACACCCACAGTGATGCTAGACACCCACAGTGATGCTAGACACCCACAGTGATGCTAGACACCCACAGTGATGCTAGACACCCACAGTGATGCTAGACACCCACAGTGATGCTAGACACCCACAGTGATGCTAGACACCCACAGTGATGCTAGACACCCACAGTGATGCTAGAAACCCACAGTGATGCTAGAAACCCACAATGCTAGACACCCACAGTGATGCTAGACACCCACAGTGATGCTAGACACCCACAGTGATGCTAGATACCCACAGTGATGCTAGAAACCCACAGTGATGCTAGACACCCACAGTGATGCTAGACACCCACAGTGATGCTAGACACCCACAGTGATGCTAGACACCCACAGTGATGCTAGACACCCACAGTGATGCTAGACACCCACAGTGATGCTAGACACCCACAGTGATGCTAGACACCCACAGTGATCAGACACCCACAGTGATGCAGACACCCACAGTGATGCTAGACACCCACAGTGATGCTAGACACCCACAGTGATGCTAGACACCCACAGTGATGCTAGACACCCACAGTGATGCTAGACACCCACAGTGATGCTAGATACCCACAGTGATGCTAGTTGCATTTTTTATATATATTTGCTGGTAATACGTTAGTGTGGTGGATCTTTCATGTTGACAGTGATCTCTAATTGTCTGTGACACCATTTTATTTTATTTACTTCATACTATCTTCCTTTCTCTGGCTGGTAAATTATCTCTAATTTTCCTTGCATAACATTGACCAGTAGGTCTGTTGCTTACAACAAACTATAGGTATATATTTTGTAACTGATTCGACCGATAGAATATATTGGGCGACCAGAATAAGTAGGTTTTGAAACCACTCATGTCTGTCATGGCTTCATATTTCCTGGACGTCCCTAATTAGACTAAAATTAACAAGTCAGCAGGAGGCAGAGATAAGCAGCTTCAGCAATGGTAACAGCCTCAATGAGTCAACATAACACCTCTTGTGAAGTTTAACATAATAACAACATAAACATAGCTCAGGGCTGAATGGTTCCGGGTGTGTGTTACGTCCTTTGTAGTGCTCCTAACAGTATACCAGCTCCCTTACAAGACACTCGCCCATTATTTGTTCATCACTCTTCAGGGGGGATCTTGACAGATTCCTCAAAACATTTTCCGATTAACCGGGTTGTGGGGCATACGTTGAACTGCGGGCGATGGTCATTAACAATTTGATTGATGAGACCAGCAACCTGGAGGCCAGGTCTGGGACTGAGCCGCAGGGGCGTTTACCCCCGGAAACGACTACAGGAAACCTCAGGTAGCCCTCAGATAGTTATCATAACCCCTTGTATCGATATCATCAGCAAACATTTTAAAGTATGGTTATTTCCTGATGGCTGGCGGAGATTAAGGTCTTGAGCCGTGACGATAGGTAAAATATGTATGGTAGTAACAAGAGGCAGCAGCTACCTGGACACTGACCCAGGTGGAAGTCTTGGAAGACTAACAATACAGTAAGGTGCATATGCGCTTTTGTCCTGCCTCCTTCAGATTCACGGATTAAGCGGGGTTCTGCTGGTCGGGTGTCCCTATGTTATTTATGGCCGGGTCGTGTTTAGGGAAACACGAGTATTTAAATGTTTTGTTCGATGGTTATTGGGTCTGTTGTGATAGATTTCTGTTGAGAGTTGTCACTTTCATAACTGAACGAATATATATGTAATGATACTTTAGACTTTTAAAAAAAGCCTAGCTGGTTTTAATATAAATGTTCGCTTATTCTTATTTCTGATATGTTATAGATGTTCCGTTTATACAATTTTAAAGAAAAGTAATTATGAAAAAACCCAGCTGTTGATGTCTAGTGTAGTTATACTTGGTATTAACAAAATGAATACATCAGCAATGTGCTGATACCCAAACACCGACAGTTACCATGGGTGAAGCTAAGCTAGCCTTGTTTCCGTGTCATTTTTCAATTACAGATAAGCAGTAATACTCGGGAAAAATAGTGCCCTCTGATACATCGCCCTGGGCATATCCCTTCTCCATATCCGTTAATTATTTTCTAGTAAGGAATTCTTGAAGCATTCGCAAACTATTAGTTTAGGAGCTGAGCTCTTGTGAATCACAGGCTACTGTCGTCGCTGGTGTGTGAAAATGTGTTTCATACCGAGTGGGTGGAAATGTGTTGCACTTGTAGTCGTTTCCGAGGTCACCGCCCCCGCGGTCCGGTCCCAGACCAGTTCTCCAGGTTGCTGGCCTGATCCATCAGTGTTGGTGCCCACCGCGCGTAGTCTTACGTATGTACCATAGCCCGGTTGATCAGGAACTGATTTCAAATTTTTCAGTTCCCTCTTCAAGGCAGCTATACACGATGGGAGGAGGCTGAGGAATCGTGAGTGGGTGGGGAAGGTTTATATTGTGTGAGTGGGATGGTTTATATTGTGTGGGTGGGAAAGTTTATATTATATTCACAATAGTGTTGTGGTAACGGTTAAAAATATTCACATTCATTAGCATTTAATATTATCTGATACAGGTCAGAGGGGAAGAAGAAAAAAGACTGAGTGGATTAACATCCCGATATTTTTGTGGAGGAGTGGGTGGGGTGAATTATAGACCTCTGAGTAGAGGTCAGGAAGC